TGCCTTGTTGAACCGTATGTACCTAGCTTAAAGTTTACAAGCGCACTCACGGCTGAATAGTATATACCTTTTTCAGTCGAGTTCGTAGCCACCGATGTGGTCTATTCCTGGATATAATATAAATTTCAGTGTCAAAATATTCACAAATGCCGACGGTAAAGTAAAGAACGATAATTCGAAACTAGAATATGGAAGTTTATAGTTTATTTTTGTTCGCTTAATTAAAATTTCAAAAATGTATTTTTCTTGTAAGGAGCACGATCAATACATTGGATAAACAGGATAAAAGCATAACAGTAGGAAGCACATAGATCCCCTTATTCAAAATGGCACATACAACCGGTTCCATGAAGTATTTTGGGCTTTTCCATTTTAGAAAACTAGAAGTGATATATAGAATTAGAAGTTATATCCTTAGCTTATGATTTCGTTAATAAGTATTTATGGTTGTCACCTATCAAGGATGTATTCTTGGTTTTCACCTACGTCATCACGAATTACAACTTACACATTTGTATATTTACATGAAACGATAATGCTGATATGTACCGGCGTGTCTGCTGATCATGGACTGTGCCGATGTGTCTGTGTTTTTTGTTGCTGTTGTTGTTGTTGTTGTCTTTTTTTTTTTGTTTGTTTTGTTTCGGCCCTCAGGCCGAAACGCTACTAAGATCAGTTCGGTAATCCATAATATTCTGTGAAGCAGTCAATCCGCTGTCATTATTTTCTATCGTATCCAATCACATTCGGCTTTCTTATCACTTCATAAATAACGAATGAAGTTCTCTTAATGCACTTATCATTTGCTTCCCCGTGGGTCGACCCCCGGGGCACCACCGGGGAATTGTTTTTCGTGACAAACAAAAACCATTCAAAGCCCCTGGGTAAAGGGCATAACTTAATTACRAATAGCTCTTCCCTGGGGGCCAAAATGTACACCCATAACCGCATTTATTTTATTGAAATATAATTATAGCTGGCATGTAARTGGTCAAAATTGCGTTAAAATTGAATTTCTTTGAATATTAAATCATTGGACATCTTTGATAAACCGCCTGATAAGGAGTTTATGTTTGATTTGTTAAGGATGTGTTATGAACGACTAGTTACAATAAAAGGATAAGTGATAATGAACTTTTAAACCTATAGACATACAGGTACTCTTCACCGTTTCAAAAACATCTGTTAGATAGAGTTAACAACTGTTGTTCTGGTTAGAAGCTAAAGAAAGGAACATGTAGTACAAAGATTTATGTTATGCAATATATCAAATCACTCATGGTCACACATATTTTCATTCACCAAAATCGTCTGTCATTTAGTACTTTCTTTTAAGTCTCGACACATCCCACGCTTTAAATAATGGCATTATTGAGAAGAAAAGAACAAAAGACGAATCTGATTTTATTTTAAAAGTAATGCTCCTAATAAGAACGATACCGCTTTCTGTTGTTCTGCGGCATATCGCTTGCCCCACATCAGAATTTTGAGATTTTCTACTGGGGATGTATCAACCTATGGAGAGATGTTTGTGAAAAAATATGAACTAAAAGTCGCTTCTTAAGACGTTTACTTTTGAGGTTTTCACCATCTGAACCTTCCGGATAAGTCAGCTCTAGCAGAGCACGCCA